CTTCGCACACATAATATTCAAATTGGGGATTTCTCATACCCACCTTAATTGAGGAACGGGTATTGCGGCGCGACGGCCCCATCCCCTTCCCGGCCCCCCCCCCCCCCCCAAATGTAGGAGAAAATAAAATAAAAAGCTACTTTGTTGAATAAATAAAAAAGAGTATTATGAGCATAATATATGTATTAATTCCTTTTTTATTAACAAAAATACAGATTATTTAAAAAAATTAATACATATTCAAGACATGATCATTATTATAGAGGTAACGCCACCATATCACACGTCTAAATAATATATTTATTAGGAAAATAAATTATATATATATATATTCTAAACGGAGAGGGTTCGAATTGGGGATTAGAATATTATCCCCGCCCTTCCCCGAACATCATACTCAAAAATTTCTCCAAACCCGTCCTCATACCCGTTTCTTAATCTTCATACCCGACCCATTAAGATCAAATCCTCATCAAGACCTTTGCACGTGGCTAAAATTGTCATACCTAGTATTGACTCCTTCAAAGTTTTATTCCATGCTATAAATTAGCAATATCAAACCCTATTATATTTGTCCCCAAAAAAAAAAAAAAAAAAAACCCCCTTATTACATATCCCGACAACAACAAAAAATGCCCTGTTAAATATTGTCTAAAATTCTTTTTTCTTTTTCTTTTTTTTAAATCGAAGTTATTTTGCATGGCGCTAATAAGAGAATGAGTTTTTGACAACAAAAAAAGGCATAGACGCAGGCTCTTGAATTTTCCGCTATAAGAAACTTTCATATCATACACAAACCCTAAATTCCTTTGTGCGACTCTAATAGCAAAGGCTCTATCATCCGGTATAATGGGGGATCGGAATACATCTCAACCTTCTGCCGCCAGCGCTCTGCTCACCTCCGGTCAAGATGCTCAGATCAATCCGCGGATGATGGTTTCACGCAACCTTGAGTCCTGCAGAATATATGGGAGATCGAGAACTCTCTACGTGAACTTTGCGAGAGAAGGGAGATAGAGAAATCTCTGGGGGAACTGGGCAAGATATCGAAGATGGAGAAATCTGTAGCCGCACTTCGCGCCCAGCAAATCCAACTGGTCGATTTGACGAAATCAATGTCGGAGCAGCTTCGCTCCCTACAACGCAGTGGATAAGGCCGTTAATCCTTACCCAAGGTCAGTGAATGGCTTAGTGGATTTCATCTTCTTTTCTCTGATGTTTTCTTTTTTTTCAAATTCTGCTTAAGTTTTCTCTTGTTGCTGCCCGCATATTTAATTATTCAAAGATTTTTGCTTGAAATAATAACCAGCTCCTCTCTGTTTCTTCGAGTCGTTTTCTTGCAAACTGTAGTGTGTTATTTTCTGAGGAATCGGATGTTATATTTTGCAATTCTGATCATTTATATATTCCATGAATTGAAATTATCATGTATCAATTACTATTTATAGTAAATTTGGCTTACACCCTTTAAATTTAATTTGCCATACCTAAAACCCTTCACTTTTTGTTCCTATAAATAATACCCAATTTGTATAAGTAAAAACCCATGACTAGGATCCAACTCAGCAAGTTACCTAATTAAGCATAAAATCTGATTTATTGTACTTTTCAGATTCCAAAAATACCCCTAACTAAGCCATTATTGCATTTTGTATATTAATGTAGGAATCAATATGGAAACAGTTTTTAATTGGATTGTATATAATGACAGATGTTGAATTTGGAAA